ATGTACTTTTAATTGATGATATTTGAACAATTCCCATAAATTATTGAACAAGCTATATTAATCCCATTAATTCTTTTACAAGTTAACATGGTTAACATGAACAGGATTTTTTATTACCAAAAACGAAACTCCCACTTTCAAAACTCCCAAAGAAGAATTTACAGCACTTACTATTGTCATATTTTAGTCGTAGACTGTGGACAGCTAAATCCTCCTATAGGATATGCCTCTGTTGCTGGCAGTAGCTACACATACAACTCAGTTGTGACATTCACCTGTCAGACTGGCTACAATCTTTTAGGAAGCTCATCTAGGACATGCCAGGGTGACGGCACGTGGTCAGGAACTGAAACCAATTGCACACGTAAGCTTCTTTGAAATTTAAATCTCAAATGCTAGACATGAAGAATCAATAGTGAGTTCCTCAAGGGTATATCAGAGTATCGGCACGTGGTCAGGAACTGAAATCTATTGCACACGTATAAGCGGCGTGTATTATGAAATTTCTAAGTTAAATCTGAAGCACTATTTTCACATTTTAAATCTCATTTCATTTGATGTATTCAAAATTTGCTTGTGAAAAATATATGATATCTGTATCAAATGGCTACATTTTTGTAATTGCTTGTGAAACTATGAGATGTTAAAATATGTACCTCTCATTTTAGTGATAGATTGCGGTGTCCTAGACACCCCTGAGAATGGGGCTGTATTCGGAAGCGCCACAACAACATACAGTTCAGTAAAAGTGTTCGAATGCAACACTGGATATTCGCTGTCAGGTAGTTCTATTAGAACTTGTCAACTTGACGGTACTTGGAGTGGAACAAATACGTCATGTTCTGGTAAGTGCACGATATAAAAAAAACAGATTGTGAACTAGGTTGGTTCTGTTAAGTGCTACTATTGGTTTGTACTGCATGTACTGCATGTATCTAGTACATAATACCACCATGACATTTCATAGATGAGAAAAATGAGACGTCATGGTGGATCATTATGTATCCGTATTGAATGTTCATTTTAGATTTCACAGATCTTTTCGTATTATTGACTCTGTTTAATCCTCATGGCTACAATGATTTATTGCTATACCCGTGGACTTTCTTTAAGTCCGTGATATACAGGTCTTTTAAAAAAAACGCAACGAGTAGTTATCTCGTAAAATCACAAAACTAGTGATGACTACATCAATTTCATTCAGTGTACCATTAAACCACGTCTCTCCTCTTTGCAATGATATGTCATTCATTGACATGTGGCAATGGTTGGGTGAGAAATTCTTTCATTCGCACAGTGGGTCAAAATCGGCTCTGCACCAAGTTTTAGATATTGCAAAAATCAGTGCAAGGGCTAAGTGCCAATGGAAGTTCCCCTGAATTGAATTGTTGTGACTTTTTCTTTTGGAGCTATCTCAGGAGCATCTGTGCTCACAATTCCTCCACCAGATATTGTAAAATCTCGAGAAAGAATTGCCCATGAGCTGCTTTTCTCTGCTTTAACCCACAGATGACTCAGGGCTGAACCATGCATGACGTGGACAGATGAGCGCATCTTTATGTGCAAGGAAGTGGTGGCAATTTGGAGGGGTATAGGATGTGTTCTTGCAAGAGTATGAACACTTTACTGTCTATGCCACACCTGTCACACCTTCTTCCAATATGCCCCTTGTACTGACTTTTGAAATGTTTAAAACTTGGGTGCGAGCTGAATGTTGCACCACTTTGCAAAATTAGTGATTATTCGGCCAGCCATGTCTCCCTGTGAATGAATGATATTCCATTGCAAAGAGGAGTAGTTTGGCTTTTTGCTATATTGAATGAAAAGGATGGAGTCAGCATCGGTTTTATGTTTTCTTCCAATATTGCATCGGGCTCCGTACACTGACTTTTGCGATGTTTATAACTTGGCCCCGAGCTAATTTTGGCCCACTTTGCAAATGGAATGATTACTCGACCAACCATGGCCAAATATCAATGAATGATATATCATTGTAAAGAGGAGACACATGGCTTTATGGCGAATTGAATAGAATCAATGCTGTTATCACTGGTTTTGTGCTTTTACGAGATAACAATCTGTTGCGTTTTTTATACGCACTGTACAATAGCAGTTCTTAAGGCTCAATTGCACTGAACAAGGAGATAGCATTCAAACGAAGTCTTTTTATATGTTAATTTCATTTAAATAAATGTATGGAATTTACTAATAGTTCTAGATTGCGGAATTCCTGCAGGGACCAACGGCTTAATAATTTCTTACAATACAACAACTGTAGGATCAGTGGCGATCTTGAGTTGTCCTGTAGGCACAACTCTTATCCAGGGAAACTCGATTACGTGTCTGCCCAGTGGAGAATGGAGTTTTTCAGCAATTTTATGTTTAACAATCCAAGGTAAATGTTTGAGAATACTTGTATTGGTCTTGAAATTATAACTTTTTTCTCAACTTTCAGAAGGCATAGATGATAAGTAATGTCAACCTCAATGTGAATTGAAAATAGAGAATCATATGAATATTGTAACGACCCTTGGGTATGTCCATCGGGATCTATAATGTAATGTGCCAGATACTAAATCCGAAAGGGAGTGTGTTATATTCAATGCCAAGTGAGGGAGTCGAACCCAGGACCTTCCGCTCTCGAGCCGGACATTGTACTGATTCGGCCAAAGAGGCTAGCCACTACAGCCGAGACTGTAGTAGAGATTTGCTATCGAAAGTCATTACAATATTTATTATCATCTATTGTTCTACATTTAGAGTAATGTTTTATATACAGAAACTTTTAATGTCCCATACTTGTAAACTTAAAAATCATGAAAGATTGCAAAAACAAATGAATACCAAACTGGAGGAAATCTGATATCTAGTTTTCGTTTAACCCTAAACCTGAATAATTGATAGCCTTGTTATTTTCAGTTAAATTTTAGATTCGTAGCACTTCCCCCTTGAGCAAAATGTCCATAGCAGTTTTAAGCTACAAAGGCATATTAAATCCTGTTATTATGTTTTTTTTTATCATTTTCAATCTTTTAAAATGCCAACTTACCTTCTTCTATGTGTAAGTTTTGCAAAGAATTAAGAACTGATAAGTTTTTAATTCAATAACAGACAGAAGCTTTACATAAAGGTACATCTGTTCCAGTCGTAACATCTGCTCCAGCAACAACATCTGCTCCAGTAACAACATCTGCTCCCGTAACAACATCTGCTCCAGTAACAACATCTGCTCCCGTAACAACATCTGGCCCAACAGCTGGAACAAGTACTGCTCCATTAGGTACGTCTTTAAATAAAATTAGTTATTTCATCCTAGTAATGTCCAACTTAATATTTTTCTTATCCTACCTCTCAAATATATCATAGAGTAATTATAAAGGATATGGCTATATAATATAATAGGTGTACAATAAGAATGTTTTTCATCCAGCTCAATTTGCAAGCACCTGTCTGGCCAAGCATAATCAAGTGAGGGCCCTACATATAGACACACCCGCAATGACCTACAGCGCCTTAGCTGCTACAACGTCACAAGCCTGGGCGGATGATCTTGCATCCAGACAGGCATTTGAACACAGTGATTCAGGGAACTCAACCTTTAGAACAGGTGGGGAGAACTTGTATCTAAGTGGCACAACTGGTACTCCTGCAGATTTCCCAGATCAGTGTGCAAATGGAATCCAAGCTTGGTATGTGAAGATTTAATTAAATTAGTAAAACTAGAAATCGGTTAGTCCACGGACAAATTATTCAATTGGAAATATGTCACATTATATGCATTTCAGTGTAATATAACCATACAGAGGGTAGAGGGTATCTCCTGATTATTAAGAATTCTTGTATGGGATGATCCTTTTGGATTTTCCTAAGTACAAATAAGTTTTTATACATTGTCAATTTATTTCATCATAAACATTTTATACAAGAATGGCTTGCCAATCGCGTGAAGCATTAAAGGCTGAGCAATTGTAAATGCATGTTAATATGGAAGCAAAAAACGGTGTTTTTGTTTTTGTTGTTTAGCACTTGTAGAGACTTATAAACATTAGCTATTAGGAAAAAAGTCAATTAATAAATTTCATGAAAAATGCCATTGGCGTTCTATCGCTAGCACAAAATAATGAATTTTTTGCTCTTGTTGCCTACTTATTAAAGAATTCATAACAAACTCGTAATTTTCTTTGGGACCCTCCAAGCAATTACTACCTATGTCTACTATTTCCCTTACTGAGACCATGACATATGACCCACAGTCCGCCCTATTTCTCAGGCGAGCATTTTCCCGCCAAGCCAGATGGGTTATTCATATTCCACAATGAAAATTAATTCATTTGATCCTATAAAATGAAATATTGCGTTTTGTCGAAAGGTCAGTCATCAAGTATCGTTCATTTGAGTAAAATAAAGGTAGATATTCCAAAATTAACGAAAATTCTACACAGGTTTTGGGGGTCAACTCGAGAAACACAGACAATATGTTTTGTCTTACTGAACTGCATTCAAACCATAATACGTATTACTATGGTTGGAAATGAAAATTATTAGATTTTCGAGAAGAATTCCACACCAGGCGGCCATTTTGGATTTTACATGGCAATAATCTAAAAGCTGATAACATATTCGCAATCTGCTCTAAAATTCTTCCCAGCTGAGTATCCGATGAAGTTCGAACGTGTGGAAAATAATTGCTATAGACCGATTCAAGTTACTTCAGTTTATTGTGCGTTTCTTAATCTGCTTCAGGTATGACGAAATTTCGGACTATAATTATGGTAGTCCAGGATTCAGTAGTGAAACTGGTCATTTTACTCAGGTTAGTAACGCAAATATAAACTATTCAGCAGCGCAACTATTTGTTTTACTCAAGAAGGTTGTAGAGATATCTAACTATTTTATTTTCTTTAGTCAGCTAAAATAAAAAATAAATACTTTTAAGATAAGACTCTAGATATGCTGAATGAACTTCTGATTTAATTGACAATTTACCATTACAGGTCGTATGGGCAACGTCTTTAGAGGTTGGATGTGGTAGTTCACGATACACAGACATGAGTGGATTTATTAGAACATTGATTGTCTGCCAGTACATCCCCTCAGGAAACTACGCAGGACAGTTTGCAGCAAACGTTAAACCGCTTAAAGGTGGACAAACAACCACCTCAACAACTGCAACAAGTACATCAATCATTTCAACAACCGCAACATCCACCCCAACATCTATGTCAACAAGTACACCACTTATTCCAACAACAACAACACCCGCCCTAACATCTATCTCAACAAGTACACCAATCATTTCAACAACTACCACACCCGCCCTAACATCTATCTCGACAAGTACACAAATTATTTCAACAAGCACAACATCCGTCTTAACGTCTATCTCAACAAGTACACCAATTATTTTAACAACCACAACATCCGCCCTAACATCTATCTCAACAAGTACACCAATTCTTTCAACAACCACAACACCCACCTTAACATCTATCTCAAAAAGTACTCCAATTATTTCAACAACAACACCAGCCCTAACATCTATCTCAACAAGTTCACCAATTATGTCAACAACCACAACATCCGCCTTAACATCTATCTCAACAAGTACACCAATTATTTCCACAACAACAACATCCGCCCTTAAATCTACCTCAACAAGTTCACCAATTATTCCAACAACCACAACACCCGCCTTAACATCTATCTCAACAAGTTCACCAATTATGTCAACAACCACAACATCCGCCTTAACATCTATCTCAACAAGTACACCAATTATTTCCACAACAACAACATCCGCCCTTAAATCTACCTCAACAAGTTCACCAATTATGTCAACAACCACAACATCCGCCTTAACATCTATCTCAACAAGTACACCAATTATTTCCACAACAACAACATCCGCCCTTAAATCTACCTCAACAAGTTCACCAATTATTCCAACAACCACAACACCCGCCTTAACATCTATCTCAACAAGTTCACCAATTATGTCAACAACCACAACATCCGCCTTAACATCTATCTCAACAAGTACACCAATTATTTCCACAACAACAACATCCGCCCTTAAATCTACCTCAACAAGTTCACCAATTATGTCAACAACCACAACATCCGCCTTAACATCTATCTCAACAAGTACACCAATTATTTCCACAACAACAACATCCGCCCTTAAATCTACCTCAACAAGTTCACCAATTATTCCAACAACCACAACACCCGCCTTAACATCTATCTCAACAAGTTCACCAATTATGTCAACAACCACAACATCCGCCTTAACATCTATCTCAACAAGTACACCAATTATTTCCACAACAACAACATCCGCCCTTAAATCTACCTCAACAAGTTCACCAATTATGTCAACAACCACAACATCCGCCTTAACATCTATCTCAACAAGTACACCAATTATTTCCACAACAACAACATCCGCCCTTAAATCTACCTCAACAAGTTCACCAATTATTCCAACAACCACAACACCCGCCTTAACATCTATCTCAACAAGTTCACCAATTATGTCAACAACCACAACATCCGCCTTAACATCTATCTCAACAAGTACACCAATTATTTCCACAACAACAACATCCGCCCTTAAATCTACCTCAACAAGTTCACCAATTATGTCAACAACCACAACATCCGCCTTAACATCTATCTCAACAAGTACACCAATTATTTCCACAACAACAACATCCGCCCTTAAATCTACCTCAACAAGTTCACCAATTATTCCAACAACCACAACACCCGCCTTAACATCTATCTCAACAAGTTCACCAATTATGTCAACAACCACAACATCCGCCTTAACATCTATCTCAACAAGTACACCAATTATTTCCACAACAACAACATCCGCCCTTAAATCTACCTCAACAAGTTCACCAATTATGTCAACAACCACAACATCCGCCTTAACATCTATCTCAACAAGTACACCAATTATTTCCACAACAACAACATCCGCCCTTAAATCTACCTCAACAAGTTCACCAATTATTCCAACAACCACAACACCCGCCTTAACATCTATCTCAACAAGTTCACCAATTATGTCAACAACCACAACATCCGCCTTAACATCTATCTCAACAAGTACACCAATTATTTCCACAACAACAACATCCGCCCTTAAATCTACCTCAACAAGTTCACCAATTATGTCAACAACCACAACATCCGCCTTAACATCTATCTCAACAAGTACACCAATTATTTCCACAACAACAACATCCGCCCTTAAATCTACCTCAACAAGTTCACCAATTATTCCAACAACCACAACACCCGCCTTAACATCTATCTCAACAAGTTCACCAATTATGTCAACAACCACAACATCCGCCTTAACATCTATCTCAACAAGTACACCAATTATTTCCACAACAACAACATCCGCCCTTAAATCTACCTCAACAAGTTCACCAATTATGTCAACAACCACAACATCCGCCTTAACATCTATCTCAACAAGTACACCAATTATTTCCACAACAACAACATCCGCCCTTAAATCTACCTCAACAAGTTCACCAATTATTCCAACAACCACAACACCCGCCTTAACATCTATCTCAACAAGTTCACCAATTATGTCAACAACCACAACATCCGCCTTAACATCTATCTCAACAAGTACACCAATTATTTCCACAACAACAACATCCGCCCTTAAATCTACCTCAACAAGTTCACCAATTATGTCAACAACCACAACATCCGCCTTAACATCTATCTCAACAAGTACACCAATTATTTCCACAACAACAACATCCGCCCTTAAATCTACCTCAACAAGTTCACCAATTATTCCAACAACCACAACACCCGCCTTAACATCTATCTCAACAAGTTCACCAATTATGTCAACAACCACAACATCCGCCTTAACATCTATCTCAACAAGTACACCAATTATTTCCACAACAACAACATCCGCCCTTAAATCTACCTCAACAAGTTCACCAATTATGTCAACAACCACAACATCCGCCTTAACATCTATCTCAACAAGTACACCAATTATTTCCACAACAACAACATCCGCCCTTAAATCTACCTCAACAAGTTCACCAATTATTCCAACAACCACAACACCCGCCTTAACATCTATCTCAACAAGTTCACCAATTATGTCAACAACCACAACATCCGCCTTAACATCTATCTCAACAAGTACACCAATTATTTCCACAACAACAACATCCGCCCTTAAATCTACCTCAACAAGTTCACCAATTATGTCAACAACCACAACATCCGCCTTAACATCTATCTCAACAAGTACACCAATTATTTCCACAACAACAACATCCGCCCTTAAATCTACCTCAACAAGTTCACCAATTATTCCAACAACCACAACACCCGCCTTAACATCTATCTCAACAAGTTCACCAATTATGTCAACAACCACAACATCCGCCTTAACATCTATCTCAACAAGTACACCAATTATTTCCACAACAACAACATCCGCCCTTAAATCTACCTCAACAAGTTCACCAATTATGTCAACAACCACAACATCCGCCTTAACATCTATCTCAACAAGTACACCAATTATTTCCACAACAACAACATCCGCCCTTAAATCTACCTCAACAAGTTCACCAATTATTCCAACAACCACAACACCCGCCTTAACATCTATCTCAACAAGTTCACCAATTATGTCAACAACCACAACATCCGCCTTAACATCTATCTCAACAAGTACACCAATTATTTCCACAACAACAACATCCGCCCTTAAATCTACCTCAACAAGTTCACCAATTATGTCAACAACCACAACATCCGCCTTAACATCTATCTCAACAAGTACACCAATTATTTCCACAACAACAACATCCGCCCTTAAATCTACCTCAACAAGTTCACCAATTATTCCAACAACCACAACACCCGCCTTAACATCTATCTCAACAAGTTCACCAATTATGTCAACAACCACAACATCCGCCTTAACATCTATCTCAACAAGTACACCAATTATTTCCACAACAACAACATCCGCCCTTAAATCTACCTCAACAAGTTCACCAATTATGTCAACAACCACAACATCCGCCTTAACATCTATCTCAACAAGTACACCAATTATTTCCACAACAACAACATCCGCCCTTAAATCTACCTCAACAAGTTCACCAATTATTCCAACAACCACAACACCCGCCTTAACATCTATCTCAACAAGTTCACCAATTATGTCAACAACCACAACATCCGCCTTAACATCTATCTCAACAAGTACACCAATTATTTCCACAACAACAACATCCGCCCTTAAATCTACCTCAACAAGTTCACCAATTATGTCAACAACCACAACATCCGCCTTAACATCTATCTCAACAAGTACACCAATTATTTCCACAACAACAACATCCGCCCTTAAATCTACCTCAACAAGTTCACCAATTATTCCAACAACCACAACACCCGCCTTAACATCTATCTCAACAAGTTCACCAATTATGTCAACAACCACAACATCCGCCTTAACATCTATCTCAACAAGTACACCAATTATTTCCACAACAACAACATCCGCCCTTAAATCTACCTCAACAAGTTCACCAATTATGTCAACAACCACAACATCCGCCTTAACATCTATCTCAACAAGTACACCAATTATTTCCACAACAACAACATCCGCCCTTAAATCTACCTCAACAAGTTCACCAATTATTCCAACAACCACAACACCCGCCTTAACATCTATCTCAACAAGTTCACCAATTATGTCAACAACCACAACATCCGCCTTAACATCTATCTCAACAAGTACACCAATTATTTCCACAACAACAACATCCGCCCTTAAATCTACCTCAACAAGTTCACCAATTATGTCAACAACCACAACATCCGCCTTAACATCTATCTCAACAAGTACACCAATTATTTCCACAACAACAACATCCGCCCTTAAATCTACCTCAACAAGTTCACCAATTATTCCAACAACCACAACACCCGCCTTAACATCTATCTCAACAAGTTCACCAATTATGTCAACAACCACAACATCCGCCTTAACATCTATCTCAACAAGTACACCAATTATTTCCACAACAACAACATCCGCCCTTAAATCTACCTCAACAAGTTCACCAATTATGTCAACAACCACAACATCCGCCTTAACATCTATCTCAACAAGTACACCAATTATTTCCACAACAACAACATCCGCCCTTAAATCTACCTCAACAAGTTCACCAATTATTCCAACAACCACAACACCCGCCTTAACATCTATCTCAACAAGTTCACCAATTATGTCAACAACCACAACATCCGCCTTAACATCTATCTCAACAAGTACACC